GAAGAAATCAAAATCAGGAATCCACTACATTAATTTTTTTTCTTGAACAGCGTCCAAACCCGCACGTCATGAGGAGTAAAGGAGTTTTTGGGATAAAGAGAAAATTATTTTTTCTTCACATTACAATATTAGCCAGATCTTTCGCCTTTTGGCTTGTTTCATTTTCCAAACTTGAAAAAAACACCTATCAGATGAATTAAACGAGTCCAGGAAATCATAATATATGGCATTTTCCAGTATACTAAGAGTCATACCCAAAAATGAGTTCTAAAAACAAGTAGAAATTGGATAAACATTTTTACGGATATGTTTTAATTAAAAAAAAGAATATTAAGGTCAAGATCTAGTAAATGAAGGGTGCCTACAGATTCATCAAATTCAAGAAATGAAATCCTCTAATGATGCTTTATAACTTTAGCTTGGTCAAAAAAGGTGTTTCGGGGCATAATTTGTTGAAAAAAATAAAATGAAATACAATATTTTAAACTGTCATTTTTAATGAAAAATGAAGAAAACCAGTCATGAATATAGGAGTTTTTTTCCATATCACACGAACAAAATGTATCCAGATTGCCTACAGTCTTTCAGAAAACTGTAATTTTTATGTTCTTGGTCTCTTCTTTTAAATAATCTTAATTTTAATATAGGTATCCGGACTACTTTTCATGTGATTTCAAATTGAATTCCATGAAAATACTTTATTTTCTACATAATTTTATTAGAGCTGTAAAGTACGGGAAAAAGAAAGTTGAAAGTGATTATGACGTCATAATGGATCTAGCACCAAAAAGTTAGTCTAAAGACATTTACCAGATTTTGACCTTAAGTTAAATTATTAAGACTAAATTTTTGTTCTGAGCACCGAGGACATATTATTTATTGATATTTATTTATAAGCTTTTTTAAAATACTAGACTAAGTATATCATTTTCGACTGATGCTCTTTACTATTAATACATGCCATCGTTATTTATCCAGTCTAATTTTAGATCCATTCTTACGATATTAGCTCCACCTCTCATGCATAAATAATATTCAATCAAGGGCAGGTAACTGTAAATTATCTTTATTTGGAAAACCGTAAGGACAAAAACATGACAGTTATTTAACATTCAAATTGAGGGTCTATTCGACGGACCACTGTAGTTAATATATAAAATGGAAAAGAGGTTAAGATGTAAAAGAACAGAAGCGACCAAAAGAGACCCGAAACAAAGCATTATATGCAGTCATCATTTGATTGTGAAAGAAGTTAAAACTTAACTCCCTCTCCCCTCCTTAATACAGACACACACCCTCCCTCACACACACACCCTAACATACACGCCGTACCACACACACATATACACACACCCTCCCTCACACACACACACACATATGGAGGGTAATCGGGTAATCGTGTTCAAAAACTTGTAAATGGAATCTTGAAAGATTGTTAATTCAAATTTGTAATCGTATCAGTTTCATAGTATACATCCAAGCATGTAGTTCTGAATTTACAACTGTGTTGACTTTAAGTTCAAATTATGAATGTGTGCATCTTTGATGTTGTCAACTGTGACAATTCACAGCTCCTCCTACAAATGTAAAGTCTACATGATTACGAGAACTATGGAGGGCCATCAGTGCCACAATTCCTTTTTAATATTTCTTTTTAATTTTCATTATAACTTCTTGTTTTCCAAATTAAATACATGTAAATTATAACGACGTCATTATTTTTTCAATTTCTTTTTTTAGTTCTAACTTCTTGTTTATATTTTCTAGATCTATTTTATTTCCTTCGTGGCCGTAGGGTCCGGGGCCCCATAGATTGTCGAGCAACGTTGTGAAAAGGTCAAACATGAACCCTCACTCTGCTGAAAATTTTGAGAGATCAAGATCTCCTAACTCAATTTTTAGCTTCAAAAAGCGAACAGAAATTGATGACATTGGAACTTCACAACCCGATGTTCAAGAAGACTCCGATTTTATTGCTCATGGTTTTCAAGTGGATTCGTCTGAAACAAATATAGATACAACTTCTTCTGATTTAAACCTGGAACATGCAGAGAAGAAGCAACAAGAGGATCCTGAGTCACCAGTTAAGAAGCTGATGGATTTTATGCAGGAGATGCGTGATGTTGACATAGAAAAATGCTATCAAGACTACAAAACAATGATGGAATCCAGAGATCGAACATTTACAAAAGAAGTAAATTACATATATTGATTGATTGATTGATTGTATACTGTTTAACGTCCATCTCGAGAATTTTTCACTCATACGGAGACGCCACCGCTTTCTGGTGGAGAAAAATTTTGTCCTATGCTCGGCACTAACGGCCTTTGAGCAGGGAGGAATCTTTAGCGTGTCAGCAGCTTCTGCGACTCGGAACCTCGCTTTATAAGGTCTTATCCGAAGGACAGGTCTCCTCGTCCCACAGAGGGATTCGAACCCGCGACGTAAGGATTGTAACTCCTTACTTCGCGACTCTAGAGCAGACGCTCTAACCAGTGCGCCACACGGGCGACAGTAAAATGCTTATTGCATATATACAGTGTATGTATGTAGGTCTGAAGAATTTAATGAAAGCGCTTACATTTCAATAAGTGTTGCATTTTATTTTCATATTTATTCCTGAACACTGGGACATTTCTTTCTTTTTTTATATTCTGTACATGTTTTAATTGAAAATTTGGCATTGAGTCAATATGATCACACTTTCAAACAATATTCTTCAATTATATAGGAAGTGCATGCTGAATTTAGGAAGCCCTCTACTAAAGGGTATAAGAAAACTGAATCAAGATACGGACAGGAAGAAGACGAGTTTCTGAGTGAGAGAGATCGGCTTCAGAAGAAAGTGGACGAACTGTGCGTTAAGATGGAAGCATTTGAGAAAAAAGAGAAAAACTACAGTCATACAGATTCATTTGAAAAAGAAATTGACAAGATAAAGCAAGAATATGAAGAGAAATATAGAGAGTTGAATGACAACTGCAAGAAAGCTCTTGAAAAAAGATTCTCAGAGGAAATGGAAAAAGAGAATAAGTTAAATGAAGACATTAGGATACTACAGAGGCAGATACAAACTTACCAGGAAATGTTTTTAGAGAAAACCGAAACAGAGACAAAATTAAAAGAAGACAATGAAAAACTCAAGAAGCATATAGAAGCTAATCAGGAAACTCTCTCAGGTCAAATGAAAAAAAATATAAAGTTAACAAAAGACATTGGAAAACTACGAAAAGAGTTTGAAGCTAAACAGGAAATGGAATCAAAATTATTTGGTGAAGTTGAACATTATAAGATGGCTCATGAGATGGCATTAAATCAATCAAAAGAGGAAATAAACAAACTTGAGAAAGAAAATAGAGATTTGCGTGCTCTGAAAAGGTGAATATACAAAATCCCAGAACGTTATTTATCAGCAAATTAAAAAAGCAATACATATGCAGCTTATTTGTTGTCCCTCTCTTTCACTGAAAGTTGGGGATGATAATTTTGTCTGTCTGTCTGTCTGTCTGTTTTTCTGTCTGTCTGTAACACTTTCATTTCTGCTCTATATCTGCAAAAGCTTTTGAAATGAAAGTTACACAGTATCTCTCAAGAACTATGAAAGACCCCTGTTGATTTTGAGGTAAAAAATTCAAGGTCATACATGTATATTAATAAATTTCGTCTTTTTTAACATTTACATTTCCGCACGATATCTCGAGAAGCCATTGAGCTTTTGCATTGGAATTTTATACCAAAAGAGTTTTTTATGCACTTAAAAAGACTCCTATTTGAGATCAAAAGATCAAAGGTCATGGTCATAAATACATGAATTCTTTGAGTGTGCCGTCCCTTCAATCCCCCCCACTTAGATCCGCGCATGTTTTTCTTTTTCTTAAGTGGGGGACATAGATTCTCTGAATTAGATTGTTTAGACTAAAACTTATCCATATATCAATGTATATTTTTCATCTTCAGATTAAGTAAAGAAATGCACAGTGTTACAAATCTTAATGATTCTAACGCTCCAACAAAAATCGCTGAGAAGTACAACGAACTTTATGACAACGAATGGACAGATGCCTTTAATTCTCTCACAAATGAAGTGTACCAAGACGAGAGTGCTATAAAAGAACTACTGGATTTAATACAGGTTCATAAACAATGCAAAATCAGATTAAGACAAAATTTTAATCTTAAAAATGAAATTTATCCTGACACATCAGAAAATTTTTTCTAATTTAAATTATGAATATTTTCTAAATATGTAATTACTGGTACTTGTTGAATTTAAGATACTAGTATATGATACAGTAAAGTATACATTTGTACTATAAATGTATATTTATGATTGAATCTTATTTTTTTTAATCCCAGGCTGCCTATTCTTTCTGTAAAGATGCAGCAGTGCATCAGATGGAGAACTTGAAAAAAGCTTTGACTAATGTGGTAAGTTCTTTTACCTCCATCTTGATTTCATCCAGTAGCAGAAGAACTAAGGCGGAAGCCTGTCCACTTCTCTAAAGAGAATAATAAAGTAACAGTCGAAAGAATAACTGCACATTATAGTACAGGTGTACTCTGGCTACAGTCCCTTGTCTTTTTGTATTTAGAGCAGTTTACCGCGAGATGCCTCCGTTGTGGAGTACAGCATTGATCCCCAGACAGAGAAAATGTTGGAAGAAATAAGAAAATCCCAAAAGATGTCTGCAGAGACTTTGTTTAAGGTACTCAAAATACTTGTAAATATGCATACAAAACATGATATTTGGCAATAAATTTGAGAATACATGTTATGTATGAAACTAAAAATATATTTAATTTTTATTTTTATAGAACTTTGAATATAGTGAAGGTTTCAAAGCTGTGTATAAAAGAGTTCGACAGTACACAGTCAAATGTTTGGAGATATGCTGGTTGATGAACATGCATAATCCTCCTGTGGCCCTGGGAAAGCCCCCAGCTGAAGGTTCTCCTTTGGACAACAGCATGTACAAAGAATACACAAAGACCGGGTTTACCGTCCAGTATGTGGTATGGCTTCCTCTTCTACTGCATGAAAATGGTGCTCTACTGCAGAAAGGAGTAGCACAGCCTTATCCAAGAGATAAATCTATCCGCCAAAGACGTACCAAGACAGAAGATGCTAACAGAGAATCGCAATACAGTGGCAGATATCCTCATTCAGAGGAGAAGGCGCCTTTAGAAACAAATGTTGATGACTGTTTTAAGCAACCAGATAGAACTCAGAGGAGTACCACTAAAAGCCATTTGAGAGAAACAACTCCAGCAACCGTCTCATCCAGTTCCATGGGTCCAGACAACTACAAGTTCCTGTATGGTGAAAACACAGGAAATTATGCAACAAATGTTACCCCAAAACAGCAGACTACAAGTACTACAGCTACCAGCAAAGTTTTCCTCTATCCAAACTCTTCTTCATCAGCAGTACCAAGAACACACACAAGTTCAAGTAGAACTTCAACAGGAAACTTCAGAGCAAACTATAGCTCTCCTGTTGATGATCCTTACTATGACACTCCCAGGGTGGTTAATGTTAGTGGTCGAGAATATGTGAAATATCAAGGGCAATATTATACATATTCACAGTGGATTGCACTAAAATTTGGTAGTTCTAATGCATAATGGTGTAAGAAATTTAAAACTTGCCTATAGATTAATTTTGTTTAGAGAACATTTTAACATATATATGAACTCAAATTGTAATTACCAATAATGTGCATTTTAATTGTCTTACTTTTTCACATATCAGTAGTTGTTATTACTTGGTTTCCCTTTATTTTATTTTAACTAGAGTTTTATGAAAGTTACAGTTTGAAATAAAAAATGTAACAGTTCTTACATTTCTGTATTATGATATGAATTCCAAAGAAGATGTGCAAGCAAGCAATCAAAAGCCTATTGTGCAACAATAAACTGAACAAGAGGCCCATGGGCCACATCATTCAGCTGAGTGACTTTGTCCATGCTATTCTTTACCAAATTTCCCCTTCATAATACCTACTGTGACACTATCCTACCCCAGGGTAGGTAATAATTTTAACAATTAAGAATCAACAGGATGATTCCACTTAAGTTTCAGTTTTTCTGGCCTGGTGTTGCTCGGGAAAAAGATTTTTAAAGATTTTTCTATATACATGTATTTCATTGCAAAACTTGGACTCCCTACGGTGCCCCCCCTATCCACAGGGTCATTAATTAAATAATTTACAATCTACACTACCCCAGGATGCCTCAACAAAAGTTTCAGCTTTCCTGGCCCAGTGATTCTTGATGAGATTTTAAAAATATATTCCTATATATTTCAATGTAAAACAGATTCCCTATTGTGGCCAATACCTATATACCCCAGGAATCATGATTTGAACAATTTAGAATCTACACTGCCCGAGGATGCTTCCACTTAACTCTCAGCTTTTTTTTTTTTAAAACAAACTCCCCTTTGTCCAAGGATGCTACTAGTAAATCAATTTTGGTAAAAATTGGACAAATGGTTCTCGAGAAAAAGTTGACAATGTGAAAAGTTTATAGACGGACAGATGGCAGACAAAAATGGGTAATCAGAAACATGAGCTTTCAGATCAGGTGAGCTGATAAAACTTTGATTGTCTATTGTGTATAGTTATATAGATTACACATGTATTTGCAAGAAAGAAGTCAGAAAAAAATGTTTCTGAATTAACTTCGCCGGGGCGGGAATTCAAATGAATCTTCATTTCACTCTGGATTCACTGAAAGCTTAATTTACCATCCGGATGCATTTGTCAACGTACAGGATTAAAGTCTGAATCAAATTCTATAATATTTCGTAAAAGGGAAGATAGAAACACATTAACAGTTGGATCCATAAAGGGGGGGGGGGGGGCTATTGTACCGATCACTACTTTTGAAGACGGGGAGGCAAGAGTTTTTATGTGCACCTCATCTAGCTTTTAAACTAATACAGAGATTTATCAATGGAATTAGAGAGAGAAAAAACAGATGCTCTGACAAGGTGAATTATAACTTAAAGGATGATTTTATAGAATCAATTCAATTGTAAACTAATTAAGAAGCCAAATTCTTATAAAATTGAGTGCTTTTCAAATATTAATGCATAATTATGTTTATAAATATCATATGAAGCAATACTTTAATTCTGCTTTTTTCTAGATTAAGTAAGGAAATGGGCAACAAGCTGAATGACAAAAACCTCAACATCACAGATCTAAGTGACTCCAACCGTCCACCAAAGATTGCGGAGAAGTACAATGAACTCTATGACAATGAATGGACAGATGCTTTGGAGTCTCTCACAAAGGAAGTGTACCAAGAAGAGATCGCTATAAAAAATCTACTGGATTTAATACTGGTTCATAAACAATGCAAAATCAGATTAAGACAACATTTTAATCTAAATATGAAATTTATCCTGACACATCAGAAAATTTGTCCTCATTTAAATTCTGAATATTTTCTGAAATGTAATTACGGGTACTTGTTGAATTTAAGATACTAGTATATGATACAGTAAAGTATACATTTTTACTATACATGTAAATTAATGATTGAATCCTATTTTGTTCAAATCCCAGGCTGTCTATTCTTTCTGTAAAGTTGCAGCAGTGCATCAGATGGAGAATCTGAAAAAAGCTTTGACTAATGTGGTGAGTTCTTTTACCTCCATCTTGTCTTCATTCAATAGCAGAAGAAGGCGAATGCCTGTCCAATTCTCAGTGATAAGGGAATAATAAAGTAACAGTCAAAAGAATAACTGCATACTGTATTATAGTACAGATGGCTCTGGCTACAGTCCCTTGTCTTTTTGTATTTAGAGCAGTTTATCATGAGATGCCTCAGTTGTGGAGTACTGCATTGATCCCCAGACAGAGAAAATGTTGGAGGAAATTAGAAAATCCCAAAAGATGTCTGCAGAGACTTTGTTTATTAAGGTACTCAAAATACACGTACTTGTAAATACGCATACAAAACATGATATTTGGCAATAAATTTGAGAATACATGTTATGTATGAACCTAAAAAAATATTTAATTTTTATTTTTGTAGGAATTTGTATATAGTAAAGGTTTCAAAGCTGTGTATAAAAGAATTCCACAGTACACAGCCAAATGTTTGGAGATATGCTGGTTGATGCATATGCATTGATCTTGATGCAAATTCTCAAAAATATTTCTCAACTCAATTCTTGAGAATAACTCAGCCGAGAATTTGAGAATAAGAGAGGTTAAGGTACTTTTTTTCTCAACTTTTTTTGACGGCCGCTGAGTCTGAGAATTTTGGATTTGAGAAAATTCGCAGACTTGAGAGCATTCTCAACACAATATGATACCCCAACTAACTAAATTTCATGTTTATTTTTTAACAAACTTTTCCATCATAGCTGAGTATTAGGAAAAGTTTTTGCCATGAGTAGTAAGTATTTCAGATAAAAAAAAAAGAAAAGAAAACTGTGACATAGTGATTGTCTATAGAACAATTCAGAAGGTGCGTTGTATAGCATATCATAATGAGGTTTTAAAAAAATATATTTTTTAAAAAATGCGTAAAATAGACAACAGAAGGTAAAATCTATCTTGTCTATCAAATAGTATAATAAAGAAAGGAAGTGGCTACAATTTTAATGAAATTTTAATGTCCGACGAGGAATTTTATTCCCAAAAAGTAAGACAAGAGTTTCCAAGGCGCAATTGAACACTCCATTATTTCAGTTTGTTCATTAACATGTTCATAAACGTAAAAACTAAAAGAAATGTGAAAACTTGACTATGTAATTCATATTTGAATATGACTGTACTTCGATCTATATTGAGAAATTTAATGTATTATAAGATCATGAAAAGATGTAGACATTTGACTTTTTTTATACCCCCCCCCAAAAAAAAAGAAGGAAAATCCTGTTCACATGATTTCTCGCTCTCAATTTTCACACAAATGCATTAAATAAAGGTAAAATAGCACACCTATCTTCGATTAAGATGCAACCAAAAAAAAATACGGTTTCTTTGAATAAAAATTTCACTGCTGAATTGAAATAAAAAAGATACTCACCTTCAATTAGCGATTTCAACCTGATTTACCGGAGGTATTTATTTAATCTTATTTTATTTTCTTCTTAAAATAACGTTGGTATTCTATTATGGCAGAGATATACAATTATGACTCACTTATACTGTACTCTCTGTTAGGAATAATTTATATTTCACGTGAAAGGGACGCCATACATTTTTTCAGTAAAAATACATGTATAACACGGCGTTATTCGTTCAATTTCTTTAAAGTTTCAGAATTTGTTAATAATGAGCAAATTAGAAAATTAAATATAATACTTTAATGGGAAATAAAGACAAACGAAGTGTAGTTATTTGTTTTTAGAAATTATATTGAAAAATGATAACGCCATTGTTTCTTTGTTACCCCAGCAGTGTTTGTCGTGTGATTTTAAACTTATTTTACAACCATATAAATTAGGTTTCATAAAAATAAATCCACAAGATACTGATGTACAAGTAACAATTACTGGCATCGCGCCGTTGCTATATTCTTTCGTTTTTATAGAAAGTTGCATGGAATACCCGATTTCGAGTATTCTCTCCGACCTGTTCAATGCGTTTCATTATACCCATTATGCCCATCCTACCCAATTGATCATAATTTAGACAATTTGAAATCTACGCTATCCCATGATGCTTCCACATAAGTTTCAGCTTTTCTGTTCCTCTGGTTCTTTAGAAGAGGTTTTTTTAATGACCACACCCTATTTTTGTCTTTTCTTGGTTATCTCCCTTTGTGAGAAGACTTGGTCCCTCATTTTTACAATTTACTTCAGTCTTTCAAAATCTCCTTTTCCCAAGGATGCTATGTACCAAGTTTGGTCAAAATTGGTCCTAGAGTTCTTGAAAAGAAGTCGTAAATGTGAAAAGTTTACAGACGGACGGACAGCTAGACGGACGGACGACGGACAAAATGTGATCAGAAAAGCTCACTTAAGCCTTCGGCTCAGGTATCGTAAGCTAAAAATGGGAAATTAAAACTTATTTCTAACAATTTATGACACTTACATATATATACAGTCAATGTACATGTAGCCCAAGAAGATACATGTTGACCGCAGACTGTTACGATGAACACCTTTTAGTGTCCTGGTTCAAATTCACCTGTCGGCAAACTTTTATTTTTTTTTTTCAAACTCTTTACCTGTGAACAGGCTATATGTACAAGTTTCTTTGTTTCTTCCTTTGATGCATGTTTACTGTTGATATAGAAGATATGAATTTATGGAAAATCATAAATTCTTTTTAACTAAACGAAATTAATCGGAACTATACATGTACCTCTGTGTAAGCACACTTTATTTGAGGACACGAATCATTTACTTCGGTGTTACTCGATACCGGTGTCACGATGAAAAAATATGCCGAATAAAAATTTAACCTTTGCCTCTCAAGAACATCTCTGGATAATAGTAAAGTTGCGCACAGTGGGAGGGGTACTGCAGAGTAGATAAAGTTCAATAATTCATTTTTGTTTGTACTCTAGCTTTTGATTCGTAATATCCAAAATGGAACACAAATTATTTCTGTATAACCTGGTTTGGTATGAGAACCCCTCCCCCCTCCCTCCATGACAACCAGCTGAATAATCTGTATTCATGCAATCCTCTCATTTCCAACCCTCGGGATTCATTGAAAATTCTAGATTTATTAAATACATGTATGTTTACCATTAACCAATCCCTTTGTATAAATTATACAATAAAATATGTTCAAAACCATTAACTTCAATCAGTCATCTGATCTTACCACAATTCATGTAAACAAACAAACGGGTAAAATGTGTGCTTTGACGATATTTTATGCAAAAAATACGGGAAGAATTCAAGGCTTGAATGTCCCTTTGGCATTGCCCAGGCCCTGCATCAAGTAAGCGGCCTCATACAAATCAGTCTAGTAATTATATTGATATTGCATGCAAATGATCATCTGTAAATTCTGAGGGAAGGTCAGATAAACACACAGTTGACTAGAAATAAAGGGACACATGGGAAACAATAAACTACTCACATGTGGCCTAAAGTCAGCGACAAGAACGGAAATCAATAAGCTTTTTCTAAAGACTGAAATAAATATCGGTCTATATAAGTCAATTTATTCAATACAACTAGAAGTGTTCCTTTGCAAATCTCCATTCATGAAAAGTAATGGAGCGTTCAAACAAAAAAAGACTGTTATATAACACAGGTGGATTTTACTTACCTTTCTTGGAAAAGGTGCACTTCTGATTAACAGAATATTGATTATAAATATAGAATTTTGGAAACACTTTCGTTTTATTGTTTTGATATCTTGGATCATAAGTGAACCAATTTTCTTTACTTTATTGTAAGCATATTTTCTTTTACTAAAGTGTAAACGTCACATGTCAAACGTAGTAATATTCGATCTTTTCCATTTGTATTGTTTGATTTTTATTTGTATTCTATAATTCTCCATTTGTATTATATAATTTTTCATTTGTGTTATATAATTTTCAATTTGCATTGTATAATTTCTTATTTGTATTGTAAAAAATATTTATGTTTTTTCGATATAGTATTGTACGCATTTGGTGCGTAATTTCACAACTCACAAAAAGTCTATATCTAAAGCAACACTTACTGATCCCGTAATACTTATCTAGATCCTCGAATTTAATGTAAAGAGATGTTCCAATTGGTGATGTAACATGTTTTGATGACACTGCTTACAAAAACTACATGTATTTACGGTTCAAAATAACTAGTGATACGATTTTGATGAGATTAACCTCCTAATAATGTTCGTTGTTTCTAATAATAATTAAAATCATGGCATAACATGGCTTATATAAATTGCTGATTAGAGAATAATAATGCAGACACTAACAAATATTAATTTTACAGTACAGGTCACGTGTTTTCCCCGTTGCTCGGTGGAAAAAACACCGAGTGACATGCTCTGTGTTACACCGTGTACACAGAGTAGCACGATGTGTGTGAAATATACATGTAGGCCTGCACACCTTGCCACACCGTGTCTAGAAAAATCCCAGCTAATGTTTTTAAAGCTCCATTTCAGTGTATGGTATTGCTTGTCGCGAAGAATGGGGTGTCCTAAAACATTACGACGAATATTTCTTTCTCAATTCTAAAAATATGGGCGTGTCATTATTGTAATTGACGTTCAAAACATGACTCAGAACGTTTCATCCAAAAGGAAAATTTTTTCCACTTAAATGCGTTTCATTGTATCAATAACTTAATTAACATGTAAAATAAAACAACAGATGTGAAAGAAAAAAAATATATTTATTTCAAAGAGTTTTTTTTTTCAAATCATACTCTTTCGGTGCCTCTGTCTGAGTCTTATTTAAGTTGGACTGACAGTCCTGTCAACAGCTAGTAAATTTTATTTTTCGAATTCATGAAGTGATCAATGGATTGACTTGTGTGATAATTTGCATAAACGCCGAAGGCGTTTATGCATAAAAATTATCACACAAGCCAATCCATTGATCATCTTCATGAAGTTGAAAAATCTGACAGTTATTCCTTATATTTACATGCTTTGATGTCGCCAATCCACGGGCTCCAAGCATGCTTCTCTGCTTGTGGTTTTTTGGAACCGCGTCAAAACATTCATTTAAGGAATAACTGTCTTATTTTTCGAATTCATGAAGTGATCAATGGATTGGCTTGTGTGATAATTTGCATAAACGCCGAAGGCGTTTATGCATAAAATTATCACACAAGCCAATCCATTGATCATCTTCATGAATTTGAAAAATAAGACAGTTATTCCTTATATTTATATGCTTTGATTCCGCCAATCCACGGGCTCCAAGCCTGCTTCTCTCTAGATAGATGTTGTCCCGCCCCGCACGTGTTTTTTGGAACCGCGCCAAAACATTCATGAGGAAATCAATTACATTTACAATTGGTAATTTTATCTCGGACAAAGACATTGGAAATGTAAATATGAGGAAATCAATTACATTTACAATTGGTAATTTTATCTCGGACAAAGAAATTGGAAATGTAAATATAAGGGTATAACAAAGGTTTTTGATGGTGCAACTGCGCTCTCTACAAAGGCCACACCGTAAAACATACCGGGTATTACTCAGGTGACCATTAAGTCTCTAAGTCGGTCTCTTGTTAGCTCTTCTGAGCCAAAGGCTCAAAGAGCTAATGCTATGGCCATTTGTGCGGTGTGCGTCGTGCGGTGTGCGGTGTGCGTTAGCTTTTCAGAAATAACTCAAGAACCCTTTGGCCAATCTGTGTCAAATTTGTCACAGGGTATCCTTGGCCCAAGGGCTACCATTTATACTAAAATAAGGGTTGGGACCCTAAAACAAGGGGAGATAATCAGGAAAACAAAACCAAAAGTACTGGTAATTACTTATTGGCTTAGAATCTTCAATCTTTGTTTATAAATGCATCTTGAGTCCTCAGATAACTTCAATCTTAATATAGGTTACTATGATGTACTTATGGTTTTTATAGCTTTATTATTAAAAATATTTTCAGTCCTTGAATTGGCTAAGAATCATCAAACTGTCAGTTTGCAACTTGGGTCTTACGATACTTAGGGTTAGAGGCTTCAAATAGAAGTGATAGATTGTACAATTTATCAGAAGAGCGATTCAAGGCCCTTGGGCCTCTTGTAAAAGAATGCCTATGACTTCGTTTTACATGATAAATAAGCGTAAAATATATTTTAATTCGTGAAAAAATCCAATAAAACCTGTGTTTGTAAAGCGGAGTTGGGGGCCCTGCATATACTACAAGCACCTGAGTCCGTTATATGCGAGTTTGAAGATTTCTTAATTGGTCATTATTTGTATTTAAGACTATTTCAGAAAATATGTTATAAACATCATAATTATTTTCTCATACCTTTAATACTTCAAGATCAACCAGATATACATACAACACCTCCATCACTAACCACATCTTTGGTTGATTGTCAGCAACTTTGGGAGATGGTTAAACATGAACCCTCAATCTGGTGAAACCACAGAGAGATCAAGATATTCAAAGTCAATTATGAGTTACAAAAATCAAACAGAAAATGAAACATATGGAACTTCACAGCCCGAAATTCAAGAACGCTCCTCTAATCCTGAAATTGCTAGTGATTTTAAAGATTCTGATGAATACGGATCTTCTGACCCAACCCTGGAGGATACAGTGAAGATGCAATCAAATGATCCTAGGTCACCAATGAGGAAACTGCTGGATCTAATTCTTGAAATGCGTGATGTTGATCTAGAAAACTGTTTGCATGTCTATCAGGAAATGATGGAATTTAAAGATCCAACAACTTTTACTAGAGAGGTAAAATGAGTCAACTATATATACACATGTTTAAACATATATCACTGATGAATTCTTAATTTTTTCATCAAGAATGTTTTGAAATAGTAATTATAATCAATTTTTAAAATCAATTTTCTCTGAACTTATAGGAAGAGTATTCTATATGTAAAAAGGCTCTTACTGAAATACATGGAAAAACTGAATCAAGATACAGACAAGAAAAAGACCAATTTTGGAGTGAGAGAGATCAGCTGCAAAAGAAAGTGGATGAACTCTGTGTGAAGGTAGAAGCATTTGAGAAAAAAGAGAATCACAGTCAGGCACAGGCACCACTAGGGGAAAAAATAGATAAGATAAAACAGGAAACACGTGAAAAGAATAGCTTTGGGGAAATTGAAAAAGAATCAAAAGTTAATGAAGACATTGGAAAATTTCAAAGGCAGTTAGAATCTGAGCAGGAAACTGATAAAAAATTAGGTGAAGACATTGAAAATTTAGAGGGGCAATTTAATTCTAAGCAGGAAAATCTCGATGAAAAAATAGAAATTGAGAAAAAATTACGTGAAGACATTGAAAAACTACAGAGGGAGTACAATGAAATCTATAACAACGAATGGACTGCTGCTTTGGAAGATTTGGCTGAAAGAATTAACTCAAAAGAGGAGGCTATAGCTATATTGCTGGATTGTATGCAGGTTAATTATTTACCGTAGACGTATTTTTTCCCATGGGGTCATAATTACGTTGGATCAAAAAATTATTACAATGTTGCCTTACATTTAAAAATATGATATAAGAATATAACTATTGCATCCATATCCTATGCATATTTGGTGTTTTTAAAGATCAACTTTGCGAGTACAATGATCAAATGACCCAGAACAACATTAAGGTAATTCCACCCTTCTATGATGTCATAGGTTTTTGCAAAAACTGTAATTAGTTTTAATTCGTACCTTATAGAAAAATATCTCTTGGAAGAATGCTTTACAATAGGTGTAATGATAAATATTGTTTAGTTAAAGAATTCAAAAAAATGCATATTTTCTATATTTAATCAATTATTCAATCTTTAAATAATGTTTACAAGGGCAATAACTCCTTCTAAGGTCTCTTCATTCAGGCATTTGCTTTTCTGTAAAATAGTTTACCTGATATTCAAAATTCAAAGGTATCTTTTAAGTAGGAAGTATTTAGGTACACTCAGCATCATAAATTTGCATATTAACCAGTTTTTACATATTTTTCTCAATATTTTTAACAAAAAATGTAGAATTTTTTTATGTTGCCATACACTTCTGTTTATTTATGTTTTGCATCTTAAATAATATGGTGACCTATACATTTTTTGCAATAAATGGAAAGTTTAAAGTATATTGAATGAAAATATATGCAGTTTTTGTACTTTGAACCTATAAAATTGTAAGGGTGGAAATTCCTTAAGTAAGCGATATGTTCCCGCCAGCTCGGATCTCGCCATACCTAAAAATTTGCGATATTTAAAATCGTAGTACATGTACTACGATTTTAAATATCGCAAATTTTTAGGTATGGCAATTTGTAACCGGTTAATCGATTAATTGGTCGGAACGATGGTAATCGGTTAGAAAATCCGTAATCGGTTAGTCGGAAAAAAATAAAATATATGTAAATTGAAGCACAGTTTGATTAAAATCCCTTCGTTTGTTTTTTCTAGAAAGGAAAACGCTGCATAGATTTTTATTTAGTGTTTCATCCTGTAATTAAGAATATTTGAAGGTGATTATAACTCTCCAGACTGAGATCGCAGGGTAATTGGTCAATTTGCAAAGTGTTAATTACTGTGTTTTTAAGTGATATTTAAAACATCACCGTTAAGCACTTAGTATGTCTATATTTTACCGTTATCTATTAAATTATACTATTATAAAGAACGTTTTAAGTAAAGTTGTAAATAAAGTAAGAGTTAATACATAGACTAGTTCTGATTATGGTGACAACGCAGAATTAGCTTCTTTAACATATGCGTTGGAAAATTATCCCTGTTTGATAAGTGATTACTGCACTCTAGCAAGTTTCACGTTTTTTTTTTTTTTTTAATATTTTCTTGTCTATTGAAATTAAAATAAAATAATAATAGTCCTATTAATATAAAATTTTCCGATCAGAATAATAAACAGAATTTAACTTATAACGTATTTTTAGCCTTTTTATGTACTGTTTTACTGTATGAAAAGAAAATGTCAAAATGTATACATGTACATGTATCTTGATACGACTAACCGGTTAATCGGTCGGAACGTTTTGCGGTTATAACCGATTAGCAATTCTGCAATCGATTGCCATCCCTACAAATTTTATCAAATAAGTAGTCAATTTTGGGGTTCACATTCACATTCATATTAATCAGGTGTTGACCAATTCAATCAAGTATCTGAAACTCACGTGATGTATTTTTACAATTATGTATTTGAAAAACTAAGCAATATGAATATTTTTTTTATTTCAAAACATATATATCTTGAACATCTAGACAAGGGCTCAAGTGGGTTTCTGATCAAAGATCGTCCATCTGTCTCTCCAGACCCCCCCCTCCCCTTCAAATTGGACTAAACTTGGCAAAGACCATCAAACTAAGTATATTGAGAAAGAAACAAAATACACCTCCATCATTACCTTTCTCTGAAGATCTCTTTGGTGAATACCAATTCAAGTTTCCCCATGTGACATGTTGATTTTATTCAAGTATTATTAAATACCTGAGTTTAGAGTTCTCTTTCATGAAAGACTCATAGGCCTCCCCCTCCGATATGTAATTCTGTAAATGACAAAAGATATGTACATAAAATTCTACCACTCTATACTAGTCTAAACATCATAATTTCATGAGTAACCACACAAAAAGGTGAAAAATCATAATGGCTGAATTTTACAATTTTGCCTTTCCTCATAAAATTCAACTGACTTGGTATAATATTTTTTAAAGTTTATTTTACATTTTTAGCACTAGGATAACATATTCTGAAATTTTCTTGAACATCTGTAAACCTCTACCGAGTGCAATATTTGTTAATTTTCTGAAGTTTTAACTACAGTAATATTTTCCAACTCTATTTCATTTTTCAAGACTAGGGTGAAATATTCAAAGAATTATCCACTTTTCAAAGCATGAGATGATATCAATGAAGTCTTTTCCAAAGGAAAAAAATTGTTTGTTTCTGTTGTCTGTCCTTAATATGTACATAAACGATCTTTGACTTAGTATGTGCCTATCAGAAAGAAAAAAAATCATAATTTAGTTGGTGTCTGGCCTATAGGCCTCTTGTTCGCTAAACATAGGTATAATGCTCATTAATGATATTTATTTCAAATGCTGATTATTTTAATTTAGGCAGCCTACATCTTTTGTAAGGATGCAGCATCTTATCAGATGGAAAACATCAAAAAGTCTTTGACAAATCTGGTAATATTTTTTAGCTGTTCTACTAGTTTAGTACAATTCTCAGTTAAACTTAGACTTCAGTAGGGCGTGGTATTCTCGACGTTACATAATTAGCGTCTGAAAATTACACAGCCTTTTATTACCGTCTTCCTTGGAAGACGGTATAGGTATCACACCGGTAATTGTTTTCACTATATAATTCTATATAGAATAAAAAATCGTTAAAAATCAGGTATTTGTTTACATGAAAAAATATTTAGCAGGAGGTGTTAAACATTACCTGTCACATTAGCTGACACCAAAAAACAGGGTACCCACACGGCATTTTCGGACTTTTTCCATCTGTAAACAGGGCTACCCTCAAATCCACGTGTTTTTACTTTGTTTATAAACACCTCGAGTGCATCACAGGAAGTAGCCTCCTATGCCCTGAAAAAAATAGTTCCTGTCATAAACCTTTATTTATTCACAAAGTACATAAAATTTACTAGGCACAGGTACCAAAGTTGTAAAAATGGCTTGGAAGAAAATAGAAAAACGCCTCAAAAGAAAAGAAAATTAATTTTATATATATGGACCTACATTTGATTGGTCAATTACCGGTGTGATACCTATAGAATAGTTGAAGTTTTTTACAGTCTTCGGACTATGCACTTCCTCTCTTTTGTGATTGGTAGAAATTGCATGCTGAGAAAATTTTCAATTATTTCATTGGTTGAAATGCTGTTCAAGGCAAGGGAGATAACTTTCTGATGATCTATTTTTCGTACGACTTAACAATTTTGCAAGATTTCCAATCTTAAAAAAATGACAAAACGAACAACAAAATCAGCAGTGATTATTTCTTAATAACATGAAATTTTTTATAGCAATAAATAAAAAGGTCTCTTTAATTTCATTATAAATAAAATTTGATAGTTATTGCTTGCAGGCTTTACAATTTGTTTTTATTCTTTTCCCCTTTCTTGTTTGAAGATTGAATGTGAATCAGCCGAGGTTTGCCGAAAGCTCTCGGCCAGTCCAAGTTTATGGAGATGACCGAGCGACAACCGTGGTAGGGCTAATGCCTGTAAAAAGCTAATTTAGAAATACAAAATCAAGAAATTCAAAAGAATTATACGGCCTGTTAAGTATAGCTCTGTTTACTGTTTAAAATTGTTGCTAAAGACGGTAAGCTTTTTTGAAAAGCTCTACTTGTTCATTGAAATAAACAGTCCGGCGAATGTCAACGAGTGTATCAATGAAAAAATGATAAGCGTTTCTTACGACAGGGAATGAGAGACGTTAATTACGTGGTGTCGAGAAAGTCACGTCCCTATGAAAGTCCAAGGTTAACCGGCATCGTACGATATAGGCCTATAGCCTAATTATACTTTGCATGAATTTTAAATAGTTTTTTTTTATTATTATTCATGTAAATATATGAACTTTTATGAAATTTATTTATTCAATTATATTTTTTTTATTTTGACACTAAGAGTATTAGATCAAGAAATGTCCCGAGCACAATGTGTACTATTGAACCGCAAACAGAGAAAATGTTGGAGAAAATCAGAAAATCACAAAAGATTTCATCAGATTTACTTTTTGAGGTATGTTTTATCCAAACTACGGAAATCAGTATTGTATAGAGTAAGATTTCCTAAACAGCCGGTGTAACGTTGAATTTTGACCCGGTTTGAAAATTGACCCGGGGGTCATTTTTCAATGTTGAATATTGAGACTCTAATCCGTTGAAAACAGAACCGGGTCGTGGAATTTTGATAATGAAATCGGTTCAAAATTCAACAGCATAAAAACACATATTTATGATTGGGTTATCACTATACTGTGACTTAATTCATAGCTAGGTATGAGGCCCCGTTTTGGTATTTACTGGAAAAAGTAATATCCCCTATTTGAATAAGTGATATCACCTGTTCCAATAGATTATATCACCTATTCGATTTGAATTTGTGACATCACCAATTCACGGCCAGGAACACGTTAAGTTCCAAGACAGTACCGTTGTCAGAAACATTTAAAGTTAAGCACTGAAAATGGCTCGTTGTCATGAACTTACTGGTGAGGTTATGACAAAAACTGTCCGGTGTCATTACTCGAGAAGACAGGTCGTGAGCAGTTTTTCATTTTTTAAGTTAAATAATTTCAACCCAGGCGCGTAGCATCGTTTTTGGAAGTGGGGGGGCCAACCTGAGCAAAAAATTTTTTACTTACCTGAAAAAGTTGACAAGCACAAAAAAAAAAAAGGAAAAAGTTGCCCAAAGTCGAAAATCCTATTTCGTGGGGGGGGGGGGGGGGGGGGGGTTCGTGGGGGGGGGGGGGGGGTAGTGGCTAACTTTTTTCAAGACCATCCATCTTTCAGTTGAAACTTTTGGGGTATATTTTCTTTATAACACTACCCTTTGCTGAAATGTGCGGGGGGGGGGGAACCTTCCCTTCAGTAAACATGTTCTATAGTAAAGGTAATGTCGGGAGAAAAAGTGGGGGGGCCTGGCCCCCCCTGATACTACGCCCCTGCAACCAATGTCTGGAATTGCAATGGGGAATAGGACTGACACCCCTTTTGGTGTTGTATGAATTTCAGCCGTTAAAATGAAGTAATAAAAGAGGAGTTCGCATTGGCGATATTAAACCCTGGTGAAATAAAACGTGGATTTCATTCATTTTCCTTCTGAGATGTTATATTTTTTGTAAATAGAAAATTATATGTATACCAACTGATGCAGTCAGTATCAAGTCATGTTATAAGCCTTTACAGAAAAAAATAGAACAACTTCAAACTGAAAATTTTGATTAATTATAATTTATGTCCGTTGTCATAGCAAGATACGAAAATTCAGTCCGTTGTCATCGGTCCGTTGTCGCTACTTTACTGTACGTATACACTATGAAGGAGGTCGATTTTAGTTTTTTATTTAATGCTTTAATAAATTTCAAGCATGTCTTCAATAAATGGGTGAACTAATTAGTCATAAGAAACTAAACGTATGTTTTTTTCTATATTTCATATAATGTTCAGCTTTTGTTTGTCATACATATGGGCTTCAGCCGTTTCCCTCAAAAAACAAATTTCAAAGTAAAGGAAGAAATATGCACGATTCCTGCCTACATTTTGCACTCATTTTACTCAATATTAATGGCAATTTGGCCAAAAAATCGTTTATATTACAAAGAACATTTCAATGGTAATTGTTGAATTGTTTTAATACCAGTACTTAATAGTGAATTATCCCTATTTCTAGCTCTTAAAAAAAGGGGGCGGGGGGATGATATTCTCCATTGATTGATCACCATATTTTGAAATAGTCTTGGATATTTAACGGCAAAGAAATTATAAAAATAAATGTATTATAAAAATAAATGTATTAATAATATGTAATGTTTAAGTTGTAAATCGCTTCGAAATAAGTGAAAAAAATAAGCATTTATGCCTCGTATGAGTAATATCAGCCTGACAGTACAGTAAAAAATAACGAGTAATATCAGCCTGACAGTACAGTAAAAAATAACCAAACACAGATATGCAGTTTTGTCGATTATGTCATTCACTTGAATTGTATAACAAACCATTAAGAGGGATCACACTGATATTAAACAAAACAAGATAAAACATGAACATAGGTGCATGAAAGGTACAAGTGTGATCCCCCTGAGACTGACTAGAAATTAACATGCAGTGACATTACATGTAAATATGCATAAAATATAACATAAATGATTTAGTCCTTTGAGGCGTCCTAACAATTGCACCAATCCCAGATGACAAGTTACCAGAATAAGAAAAATAAAAAATTTGACCAGAATGCAAAATCATACAAAAATTGACCCATAAAAAGGGTGGTGGTGGTTTTTTTTCCATCGCAATAACAGTTTTTTTTCTTTGTCGTTTTGTGTCTACAGTATATACATATCTTTGATAATACTATTTTTTGTCGTTTTTTGTCAACCCTCCACCCCCCCCCCCCCACCCCCGTCTTGAAACACAAAAAGCTTTGGTTTGAATTTTTGAAAGAAAAAAAAAACAGTACATATCACCTGTAAAAAAGAATTTTTGTTTCACCGGGGGGGGGGGGATGTTAAAATATTCTCCGTTTTTCGTTGATTTCTATTGTGAAAAACAAATTTTTTACCAAAATTTTAGCTAACTCTCTTTGTTTTCCCAAATAAGTAATGTTTAATGAAACTTTATATGATATCTATAAAAAATATATAAAAATTCCTTCGAATATGTTAACTTTTGAAAATTAACTTGGTGGTAGGCGGATTGATTGATTGATTGTATACTGTTTTACGTCCCTCTCCAGAATATTTCACTGATATGGAGACGTCACCATTGCTGGTGAAGGGATGCACATTTAGACCTATGCTCGGCACTTACGGCCTTTGAGCAGGGATGAATCTTTATCGTGTCACACCTGCTGTGACACGGAGCCTCGGTTTATACGGTCTCATCCGAAGGACCGCCCTATTTAGTCGCCTTTTACGACAAGCAAGGGGGTACTGAGGACCTACTCTAACCCCGGTAGGCGGAGGAACAATATGTATTCAAACATTATATTATAGTATTCTATTATTATGTTCCCCAAACGGAGTTTGGGAACATATTGTTTTTACTCTGTTTCTTATTATGTTCCCCAAACGAAGTTGGGGAACATATTGTTTTTACTCTGTTTCTTATTATTATGTTCCCCAAACGAAGTTGGGGAACATATTGTTTTTACTCTGTTTCTTATTATTATTATTATTATTTTTCTTCTTCCTGGGAAAATTTTGTCCACGAGTGATCTTGTAAACTACACATTGGACTAAGGTAAAATGTTTTTAGGGTCAGTAGACATGTTATGTAGATTTGCCCAATGAAGGTCATTTTGCGCGCACGTGCTTGCAAGAGCGCGCACGTGCAACACGTGAAATGACTAATATAACGTATATTGCTGTAACTTTTCTATTTTTTGATGAAATGTTTTGAAACTCATAATGTAAGGAAATAATAGTAGTATAGACAAGATGGCATGGTCAAAATAGCAAGATCTCACGCGCATGCACGTGCGCTTAGCTCTGATTGGCTGAAACTAAAGTCTCAATATCTTTCTTGTTTCTTGTCATAATCATTTGAAATTTTGAACATAGTCCTACATAATGAAGATCTACAGCATGATATATAAAAATTTTTATGAAAGCATGCGCATGCGTGCATGCTGCAATCTGATTGGCTGAAACTTTAAATGGCTATATCTCCGTTGTTTTTGGATGAAATGCTTTGAAATTCAAAATATGGTCATGCATTAGGATATCCTACAATATGTTATAGAAAAAAATCATGAAATCACGCGCATGCACGTGTGCTGCAATCTGATTGGCTGAAACTTTAAAAGGCTATCTCCTTTGTTTTAGACGAAATGTTTGGAATTTTGAAATATAGTCATTCATTAAGATAACCTTTAATATGATAAAGATAAAAATTCATGAAATCACGTGCATGCATGTGTGCTGCAATCTGATTGGCTGAAACTTCATATGGCTATAACTCCCTTGTTTTTCAACCGAACAGGATGGGATTTAGAACATAGATAAATATAAGGGACTCCTACAAGAAGGTGTAGTCATCATGCACGTGCTTGCACGTGCGTGCACGAGAAATGAGCTAAATTAAAAATACACTCGAGTGAGTGCAATTTTTAGTACTTTTGGATTAAATGCTTTGATATTAAGTATATTGTAATTTATAGATAGTGTAGACAAGATAATATGGTCGTTACGCACATGAACAAGCGTGCAATGTTTAAATTTAAATATATTTTGTATTCTTCTGGGAAGAACTTGATTAAGTCTAAATTCCATAAAGTAATTCTTATTTAATAGAGATTACAGGGAATATGGCACCAAAAGGGAGTTGGGGAGCGTTTGGGGAACATCTGTAACGGTCCCCGTTACAATTAGCACTAGTTATTATTATTATGTTCCCCAAACGAAGTTGGGGAACATATTGTTTTTACTCTGTTTCTTATTATTATTATTATTATTTTTCTTCTTCTTCTTCTTCCTGGGTACTTTTTTGTCCGGGAATGATCTTGTAAACTGTTCGTCCGAGGTAGGTAAAACCTTTTTAGGGTAAGTAGACATGTTATGCAGATTTGCGGAATCAAGGTCATTTTGCGCGCACGTGCTTGCAAGAGCGCGCACGTGCAACACTTGAAATAACCAATATAATAGATATAGTCGGAACTTTTCTATTTTTTGATAAAATGCTTTGAAACTCATAATGTAAGGATACATTAGTAGTATAGACAAGATGGCATGGTCAAAATAGCAAGATCTCACGCGCATGCACGTGCGCTTTGCTCTGATTGGCTGAAACTAAAGTCTCAATATCTTTCTTCTTTCTTGTCATAATCTTTTGAAATTTTGAACATGGTCCTACATTATGAAGATCTACAGCAAGATGTATTAAAATTTTAATAAAAGCATGCGCATGCGCACGTGCTGTAATCTGATTGGCTAAAACTTTAAATGGCTATATCTCCTTTGTTTCTTGACGAAATGCTTTGAAATTTAAAACATAGTCATGCATTACGATATCCTAAAATATGATATAGAAAAT